GTCTCGTGGTCCCGGCCCTGGCGGGGCGCGGGGACAAGGATGCTCCCCGCGGGGGCGAGTGGAGCTCCCGTGTGAGGCTTTGGCTCCCCGGGCTTTGGACTCTCCCAGGCTGGGGCCTCGCTAAGGGACCGGCCGGTGCTATGCGTGCCCCGAGTGTTTCATTAGGAATGGCGTTCTGTCATCGCTAATTGGGGAGGCAGGAAGTGACTGCTGAATAAACCCCATTACCTCCGTGCGGGAAAAACTACTCGGTAAGTCCCGGCCATTTTAATTAGGTAGTCTGAAAAATTCTCTTTCTTGTCGTTAGCGGTGAATGGGAGAACCTTTCCTGGCATCTTAGGAGCCTTAGCCAGTGGGTTTCTATGGAATGCGGCTTCTCCGAAAATTGTTTCTAACCCTCACTGTTTGGTAATGCCTATTGGGGGGAGGCCACTGGGGATTGTAATGATCTAATCTTGCTGTCTGCTGCATAGTATGGGCTGGGTTGCTTAACCTTTGGTTTGCCAGGGCCTTGGGGCTGTGCAGCAGTTGAATAATTAAAACAATCTGCAGGTGTGGCTTGTTGGGGAGAAAACGGTGCTGTGTAGTTGAAATATTTAGGGCTGCTCAGTGAGAAGTAATTAAATATACTGGCTGATGAAAATTATTTTCAGGTGTCTTGAGTATGTGGTGTTCCTTGGATTGCAAAGTTCTTTTACAAATAGAATATTTACTTTCAAGAGTGTTTTGTTTGATTTTGTTGCTTCATATAAATTTTTTTTAAAACTGCAGTTTGCCTTTTTTGGTGTGGTGTAACTGTAGAATTATAGGGCTTAAAGGGAATTCAGAGGCACCCAGCCCTGCCTTCCACAGCTGACAGAGGTACAGGTGTTCCTCCTCAGACAGGTATTTGCCAAGCCTATACCTCTGAGCCAGAGGATTCAACAACCTTCTGAAGTAGTTAATGTACTGCAGTGTTTCTCACTGACTAGAGCTACAAGGAAAATTTTTTTACAGGTATCCCTTCTAAATCTATACTGCAAATTAAGCTGGTTGAGCAATCTTAACTTACAGACAAATGAAGCAGAGCAATGTTAACAATTGCTTTGCCAGTGCTACTGTTTCCCTGGTAAGTATATAAAGTTTAAGCCATTGCCTTATGCCGCACATACATATGTGCAAAAGCTGTCTGCCTGCTCCTGTTCTCTTGCTGTAAGATATTGTAGTACAGAATCTGGACAGATAGGACCAGCTGCATTCATCAGTGTCCCTGTTACTATTTTCAAAACCCTGTGGGCAGCTGTGAAACTAAAGAATCCTGTTTCCTAATGCTACCTGGTGTTGCCATGGACAGCAGGTGGGGGCTGGAGGGGAAGGAGGTGTCAGAAGGAGGGATTCAGTTTTTAGTCCAGCTTCCTGTTGAGCCCTGGTGTGAAGTGGGGGGAAATGCTCTTTAGGCTATAAAGGGGAGAAATTTTTCAGTTGGAAGATAGGTACTGTCCAGAGTCTGATGTGAAAGCTGTAGTCCAGAAGGCTTTGATCCCAGGATCCTCTCATTCTTCAGCCCCTGGGGTATATGAGATTAGCCTCTCACCACGGCTGTGCTAGTGACAGGCTTCCCTGGTGAGTCCTTTTCCTTCAGTACTCACACCTGGCTGAAAAGGGCTCAGGTGTGCTGTCCTGTTTGTTTCTTTGAAATGAGATAAAGTAAATCAGTCCACCTGGAAAATAGTGGTTTTTTTCTTGTTTCCTTTAGCTGGACTCTGTTAAATAGCATTTGCTGTTTGGAGATGATGGCTAAGTCTCACTGAAATGATTTGCATGTTGCTATTGCTGCAAAACACTGCTATAGTTGGCTTGTAAACCTTATAGGGGTTCTGGGTGAAGATGCTGTTGCCCTACACTGTTTATCCTGCTTCTGCTGGGAATTGCTCCTTCCAAGGCAGGTGAATGCCTGCTGTCCTGTTTATGGCCCAAGTCATTGGGGTTACAGTTTAAATACATGTTTTGCATTAATTTCACTGATGTTTGCTTGATGTGTTTTGGTAGCGCTCATATGAACAGCTCTGCTGTCAGAATGGTGAAAGTAGCAGCTCTCTTCCTACTGGCAGGGCTGGAATAGGACAGTTGTCTGTCACCCTGCTATGGCAGGTTAATGGAGTAGAAAAAAAAAGGTACCAATATGGAGAGATAATTGGGATAAACTTGAAATAAAAGCAACAAAGCACTCTCGCACGCTTTCAGCCTCCCATTTACTGCTGAAGCATTGGCTAATGTAAAGGAATAAAAGCATCTGAATTTTTCATCTGTCAAGACTTGGCTGTCTTGATATCTGTAGAGAGAAACTTGACGTGAACAACTTAAGCAAGCTGTGGCGATACAGTTCCATCTGGGATAAGGAAGAAACAGCAGAGCAGCTTTTGGAGGGTCTTGTTATTGATCTGTGCCCATTACACTTGGGCTGATGTCTGATGTTATATGCTAATTTAAAGTAATGGAGTGTTATTCGCAAAGGAAAAAAGTTAGCACTCACAATGCCATCTCTAACTTCAATTGGGGGAAACAAAATGCTCAGGACTGAAAATCTTTTTAAATTAAAGAGGGAAGGAGGAAACAAGAAACTCCAGGCATCTTTCCTACTCTGTGTACTGTGTATCAATCAAAACCCTCATAAAGGCATTTGCTGTAATATGCAAAGAGAAAGTCTCTTGGTAAAGGATTTTTTGCTGCTTGAAGTCAGATGTTCTTTACCCTTGGAAACATAATTCTTTGGAATTTGGCAGTGGGTTGGGAATTAAGAGCAGTGCCAGTTACAGTCCTGTGGATTTGCATCTCTCATGCTGTGTTTCAACATACGAGTGTATCTGCAGAGGGAACAGTTTCGTAAGTCCAGTTTACAACCTTTGTCCACTCAGGCAGGGATATTCCTATTGCCTTTGAAGCATGGAATTACACTTTCTACTACTTCATTATTGAGAAGATTTTAGCATTCTGAGCAGTCTGAAAGGTGAGAGATGCAAATAATTATATCCAGCAGCAGCTTCAGTATGTTTTAGGATAGTGCTCTGCTTTGAGTGGTTTTTGAGGGCAGTGTTGAACTTTCCTGGCATTTGTGGTACTTAATATTTTGTTTTCTAAACATTATCCACTGTCTTGAGCTTGGATCTACATTTACTCGAAGGTTTGAGGGCGGTAGTTTAATGGGATTAATTTTAACTACAGGGAGCCTTATCTTTTTATTACTTACTATGTCTGTGTAAGATAAATGCTCTTTGAGGCAGCTAATGAGAGACTACAGTGAGTAGGAAACTAGCAGTTAGTGACTGATTTTAAGATGCTGTTCTCTTAGTCTTTGTGATGCTAAGAATATGCTTGTTTGTCTAGCATGTGAATAACGCAGTTTGCAGCTAGCCAAAGATTCACCAGAAACACTATAACTGATGCGGTGGAAATGATGTGGAGTTTCAAGTTTCTAATCTGCTTGTGTTACTAAGGTGAAGCAGTGGCCGTAGAAAGTACTGAGATAATAGTATAAATGGTTGTTGGAAGTGATTATGAACAGTATCAGTGTTTACCAGCAAGTGTTGCCTAAACTGACAGTTGAGCTGTATTCCTGCAGTTCCCTCCATTGAGTGCAAGTTGTTCTGAACCCATATGTGTCTTCCAGAATATCCTGGAACTGTAGTGTGTCTGTCTTATGGAGCATGTCAAAGTAACATTCAGAAAGGTGTTCACTTTTAAAAGCTGCCTTTATGCAGGCAATTTCTTTTTCCAGGAATGTTTAATTGTGCAGCTTCATTGATCAGAAGAGTGGTGGGAGCGCTAGGCACGGTGCTGCTGGGGTGGTTTTGTCACTTCTGTTTTGTGTTGAGAGCAACTGTGTTACGATGCTAAGGGAAAAAAAAATAGATTCACCTCCACAGAGAAGTGCTGCCATAGAACATTGAGATCTGACCAACAGCATGCTTGTCACTGTAAAGATGGTCGAGAAGGGGTGAAGTTAGCTGGCCCTGCTGTCTGTCGGCAGAGCTCAGTCTTGCAAGTGCTGCAGTGATTCAGTGCTCATCAAATGTTTGATCGTTCTGCATTGCTGTTACTTTGGTGCTGCTTTCTGACCTAAAACTGCTAAAGCATTTTGCATAATTTAAAAAGGAGGGGATGTTCAGTTATGAAGCCCTGTTATTAGTGCTGAGCGATAATCCAGACATTTAGAGACAAAGGTGTGAATGAGTTTCCAAATCTCTTAAATTTTGCAAACACCAGCAGAATTTCCAGGGTGTTAAGGAATGGTGATCAGAGGACTTTCAAGGCTTTGAAATACACGCATACACAATTGTAAAATAAAATAATCAATTAAATTGTAGCTGCCTTTTAAAATGTTCTTCTAAAAGGGCCTTCTGTAGGAGTGTGGGGTAAAAAAAAAAATCAGAATATAGACCCCAAATTTTACTTGGTGAAGCATCTTTAAAGAAAGATAGTTAAACTAAAACACTAAATCATGAAGCTCATAAACGAGGGTATTCTGGTAGCAACAGCTGAGTTCACTGAGCTTCATTTGTTACATGAAATTCAATTCTGTAGTGCTTCCTTGCAGTGCTTGTTGCAGACTTACTTTTTAATAAATATTTATACACCACTGGGCAGTGACTGGAAGTGTGTTTTTTCTTAGCAACTGCAATCACATAGTTAATGTCAGCAATGCTTTGAACAGTCTGGTTATATACAGCAGAATGTAACAATGACTTTTGCCCAGTAGACTGGGGAGAAGGTAGAGATCTGTGGAGACTTCATGAGAAAGAAGCCAAGAAATGCGCAAAAGTTTGAACTGAGCCCAGAGATTGAATAGGGCATTTGTCCACAGCATGACTCGGGTGGAAATAGCATGTAGAATGTATGAATGGGGGCAGGGAAGGGATGCACCATCCTTCTCCAGTAAAAAACCAATTCAGTGCATTCTTAAGTGGTCAGCTAGTCAAGACTGCCTCAGGGGCTTTTAGATGAAGCAAGAAGTGGGGGAGATGATGAGCAGAATTAAATAGGATTGCTAACAATGGGTTGGATCACAAGGTGTAACAGAAGCCGTGCACAAGGATTTATATCAAGTTGCTGCTCTGTGTTTGCAGTCATCGCAGGCTGCCTCCTGCAGAAAAGCTCTGCTCTGCCGTATGACAGACACAGGGAGCAAAAGTTCCTTGCTCTTTGCCAAACTCCTGCATGGCTGAGATCTTCTGCAGGTGCTGCAGAGAAGAGTGTGTTGAACTGGCAGGCAGAGGACAGGCAAGGCTCTTGTGTAGTTCAGCTCACATAGCCTCTGTAGGTCAGCAGGCTCTACCTGTCACAGTGTGCAGCAGTCCAGTGGGAAAGCAGCCTCTGCTGCTTCTCAGCTTTGTCCCTGAGCCACTGAGGGAGGTGCCCCCTCTGTAGTGTTACCCCAGCTGGCTGGGGAGGTATCTGGAGAGACAGCAGGTGAGAACATGAAGCATTAAGAATTTGTGGAGTTCTCTTGTCAACGATGACCTTGCTGGAGAAATTGTCATGTATCAGCAGTCTCCTTAAATCACCAGCACATTTTTATATTGAATCAGTTATACTGCTTGTGACAATTATTGTCATTGCTTCTGCTATCTTGTATCCAAGATAAATAATTGTTTCTGAAGGTATAACTTTTCTGGGCTTTTTGTAGCCCAGTTATAAAAAAAAAAAACTTTTCCCTCTTTTTAATTTTAAAATAATGATAGTTTCCTTCAGAATTGCCAGCATTAACGGTGTCACCTGTAGTGCTGTCTTTCACTGACTGATTCAAAGGATTGTTAAAAAGGTAGCAGCAGCATGTTTGTTGCTTTATGCTTTCCTGCAAAAGTGTGTGCTTGGGCTCTGTGATGGTAGGTGTGGTACACAACCCTGAAATGTCTGTTCAAACACACTACAGCCGAGTGGTGTGGGGAGTGATCTGTTTCTGTGGCACAGTGACAGGGATGTTCGCTTCAGCGAAGATTTGTCTCCATTCAAGAGGTGCTGACGTGGCTTCCTGTAATAACAAATACTGTTTGATCTCTTGTGCAGAAGTTCTGATTGGCATGGAGTTAAAATACATTCCCAAACATTAATGTGAGAGCCCAGTGCGTTTGAGGTCTGCCAGTGTGTTTGGACTATGTTTTCTGGTTTGGATCCTGTCTGTGTTGGACTAGATTTTTTTTTAACACTATAGAATCCCCTGTGATGCTGGAAAACACTACCTTCATTAGTGCCTGGCTCATCTTGGATTTAGTGTCTGTTTATGCTTGCAGTGAGTGAAGTAATGGTCATCTTGGGTTTTCAAAAATGCTTTGCCAGTCATCTTTTAAGTTGATGCTTTGAGGTGATGTTTGAGGGTGTTGGAAGGACATGCCAGGCCAGAGTGAAACTTCTGGGCAGTATCATGTTGGGCTCGACTGGGCTGAGTGCAGTTGTAACAGACCTTGGGCACTGCTGAGAATTGGCTAATGCTGGAAGAGTGAAAAGGCCTAATTGAGGTTCCTGTGTGTTTATGGATTTGGGTTGGCTCAGGTTGCTCTGCTCTAACACTGAGAGCAGAGCACTTTGGAGGAAAAAAAAGTATTGTGTTGCAGTAACTCCTGTCTGTGTTCATGTGTTGCAAAAACCAGTAAAAATACAGCACTTCCCTGGCACTTATCTGCCTGTGTCTTCCTTCTTTAGGACTTGACTGGCATAGAATCCATGGACCAATGTCGTCACACACTGGAGCAGCACAACTGGAACATAGAGGTACCACTGCAAACAAAATTTATAGCGGTTTCCAAGTACCTGGATTAAACAGAGTACTCTGCAGGGGGTGGGAGGGCTAACAGTAAGATTTAATGTGTAAATTTAGGGGTTGACAGTAGTAGCTCTTTATAACAGTATCTTGATACGGCTGGATAGCTGGTTTTGGAAGTACACAGCAGAGTTGGTACAGTTGTGAAGAATCACTTGTCTGGCACATTGTGTAACTTCCCATAGTGTGTGTGTGCAGGCTGCTGTGGAGAAGGCTTTCCATACAGAAAAGAGTACTGGTGTAACCAATGCTTTTTTTTGTAATGAGTTGTCCTTATCCAGTGCTCTGGGGCTATGGACAAATAATACCTACTGTTAGTGTCCAAAGTATATATAAAAAAAAGTATTTTCTGCTATCCTTAAATGTCTGAAACCTCCCTTTGCCCTTTCTTCTGTCAAAGGCAGCTGTACAGGACCGACTGAATGAGCAAGAAGGTGTCCCAAGTGTCTTTAATCCTCCTCCATCGCGGCCGCTGCAGGTCAATACAGCCGACCACAGGATCTACAGCTACGTTGTCTCAAGGCCACAGCCAAGGGCAAGTTATCTTACAGTGGGTTTTGTCCTGCTGCTTGGATGACTCTGAACAACAGAACTTGCAAGCAGGGAAAGGAATTGTTTTCCTTGTGTGCTATTATCTCCTTTTAAAATATTTTATCTTCTGAAAACAAAATGTAGAGCTATTCCTTCAGCCTCTATTACTACTGTCTGTTTTCTCCATGGTGTGATTCACAGTATGAGACTACCTTCCTTGTGTTGCAGAATGTCTTGCTGTGGTGTAGTAAAGCTTTTTGATCAGTTCAGGTGGAACAAAGGACTGTCCCCTCTTTAGGGCAGAGGCGGATAATATTTTTTCTTTTTAGAGGCCCTCTCCCCCCAAATTTGTATTAACTTGAATACAGTATCAATTATTTGCATTGATGTTTCACAAATTTATATGAGCACCTGTAAGACTCGGTGCTGTTAATCCCTTTGTATGGTTAAGAAAAGTAGCACAGAGCAAAAGCATTACTGCTTGAGTGACAACGGTTTTCAGGTGTGTCACATAGAATTCTGAATGAACCATGTCAGTCACTTAAATTTGACTTGACATGTCTGAAGCCGTGAAGTATTGCTGGGTTTCTTTGCAATGGTTAGAGCACTGATACTCCCATGTGTGCTTGATGCTGGTGGACACTTTGCTTTAGCAGACTTGTTCCTGGGGTGGAGACTGTTCTAATTCTTTGTTTGTTATTGCAGGGCCTGTTAGGATGGGGTTACTACTTCATAATGCTTCCATTCCGATTTACCTATTACACATTACTTGATATATTTAGGTAAGTACTTTTTTTGTGCTGACTCATGTATTGACTGCATAAGGGTACACTTTAGCTTAGATTTGGCTGTGTCTATTGTCACTTAAAGATCCAAGTCTAATGGCGGATTTTCCATTTATTTGCTCGGCTGGCTTTCTCTGTAGCCTTGTGAAGTTCCTACACTGTTTAGTAAGAAACAAATCTTACTGCAGAGAGAATGAGCATCTTGCAGCTCTGTAAATGAAGTAGTTAATTGGAGTTCTAACTCCATGTGGCTTTACAGTTTTAGTGCCCCGCAAAGGGGGTACAAAACAGTGTCAAACTGTCCAGTGTTCTTGGACAAACAACTTGATCAGAATCATGTCCCATTGGGATGGGCTGTGGGTTAACCTGCCCAAATCCCTGTATGTTACTTGGCAAAGCCTGAACCGAAAACACCCTGCTTTTTCCCCTTTGGTGTCTGTTGCCTCTTCTCCCTTTACTGTCCCGAAGGGCTAGTTTGTCTTGTCTCCTTGCAGCACTGATAAAGAGAAAAGGGAATATTGAAAGATGGTAAATACCCAGCAGTCCTGCCATCTGCACTGTTTTGGCAGTTTCCCCCGTTGTATTACTTTTTTTTTTCCCTTAAAGACTTTTCCAAAGTTCAGTGTAACTTCTATGCATCAATAGAACTAAACAACACTGATCTGCCTTGCAGTTAAGCTTTTTTTTAGCCTCAGAGGAATGACTGTTTCTTCTGTCTTCATTAGACTCCTAGTGTAATGTTCTCTTTCTGCAGCTCTTTGCACTCTGGAATTGTTAGTCTGGGAACAGCAGAAATGCAGTTTTCAAAGTTATCTGGGCAAAACTGTGTGGCTTTTAACAGCCACAGTCTTTGACTAAATTTCTCAAACCTCGTACTGTTTGTGTGGCTTATGCCTGATGCTTCAGAGGAAATCGAAATTGTTAATCACACAGAATTCAAGATACTTGCTGATGCCTGGCATGAGATAAATATTTGACTGGGGGAGGTTCTGTAGCAATGGTATCAGTTTGAAGCAGGTGGCAGTTTAGGTTGATTATAAATGTTCAAGGGTCTCAGCTGTGACTTTTTTCCTCATTATGAATGCCAGTGACTGTTTGTGGAAAAGAAAACCTGTTCTTCAGAAAGTCAGTAAGCTGAATTTCCAGTGTCCTTTGCTTCCTTCCTAGGTTTGCTCTGCGTTTTATACGCCCTGATCCTCGTAGTCGGGTCACTGACCCAGTGGGTGACATTCTTTCGTTTATTCATATGTTTGAGGAAAAATATGGGAGGATACACCCTGTCTTCTATCAGGGAACTTACAGCCAGGTCAGTGTCACATGTTGGTGCATAGATCCTGGGGAGATGGAGAGTGGGGATTTTGCCAGATGGTATCAGGGCCTGCATGGCAAAATCACTTTTCATCTAAAAGCCTGGCGTTTGTCCCCAAACTCTCTAACAGGGTAAGGGAGAGCTAGTGAACAAGTGTATTGGAAAACCAGTGTCTGCCAGGCTTGGTGGCGTGCCAAGCCTGCAAAGTTGGAAAGCAAAGCTGCTCTGACTGTTCCTCAACCGTCTGTATGGCTCTGTAGCCAACAGCTATTCTTTGTAATCCTGCCTTTGTTTTTATAAACTGATGTGGTATGCCAGAGTCTGTCCTTCTGTTCACCAAATTGGGATTGGCTGCCTGGGCTTGTATTATAATGCAACTCCAGAACTTGGTGCGGGACCTCAAAATTCAGAGGGGGACCCCCTGAAGAAATTATGGGAGGTGAGAGTTCCATATGTTAGATCTGGGCTGATGGTGCTCTCTGTAAAAGAGGGACATCCCAATGTGTACTGCTGCTTCTGTGGCTTCTCTCAGCCTAGCCAAGGGAAGGGCCTCCTGCAGTGCGTCCCAGCAGACAGTTGGATCAGCACTGCTTCCCAAGTGCCAGAGAAGAATGTGGAGTCTGTATCTGCTCCACGCTGCACAGCGATGGAGCTTACTGCCTCCGCAGCTCTTCTAGGCTGCTCTGTCTTGCCTGGAATCCAAACTTAAAGAGCCACGGAATGGTTAGGCTACCAAAACTCAGTGCCAGTGAAACAGGGAGCCCGTTGTGCACTCATCCTGTGGTCTTGTTAAGAAATGCTCTTGGGTGGGTGGAATCCAGAGACTGTAGATGCAAAAAGGGGCCTTTTGTTGTGGGTTTTTTTTTTGTTTTGTTGGGGCCTGCAGCATTATTGAGTTACCTTTTTTCAGTAGTGTTTTCATTTGATCTGCTCTGTTCCCCGTACAGGCTAGAGTGGAAAGCTCAGCCTTGGCTGCTGCGGGTCTGAGGCATGAAGGAGGGCTCTTCGCTGCCAGCTGAGCCTGGCAGGGCAGTGGGGGGGCATCAATCCATGCAGTTGCCTACCTGACTTTGCTCTGAGTTCAGTGTTCTCCAAAGCCACATCCTGAAAGGAGTGTGAAAGAACACCGTTGTAGCCCCCTTAAATTAGGCTTTAGTGAGAAGATCTGACAGGTTCATCCTCTGCTGCTCCTTTGTTAAAACCACGCTAGTGGCAGAGTAACAGCCTGGGTAAATGTTGCTGTGCTGTGTCATGCAAGTCTTGTGGGTGCTGCTTTCCCCTTGCCTAGAGAGCCTGTAACTTTACCTCCTCTGCTCTTATGCCAAGGCACTGAATGATGCCAAGCGGGAGCTGCGCTTCCTGTTGGTTTATCTTCATGGAGATGACCACCAAGACACAGATGAATTCTGCCGGTAGGTAGGAGAGTTTTCTAAATAGTTGTCTTTGCACTTTAAACGCAGCTTCATTCACACAATGTCTTCTCATCCCCTAGCAATACACTGTGCGTACCTGAGGTGATCACCCTCATAAACACCAGAATGCTCTTCTGGGCTTGCTCAACCAATAAACCAGAGGGATACAGAGGTGAGTGTGCCCCTCCTGGGCTTTACCTATCCCCACCCGTCTCTGGAACAAGCCACAAGTTCTTTGACAAATTTACACATGTAAAACACACGGTTGGTTTTTGTGCAAGCAGATGAGATTTCAGGATTGCATGGGGAAATAGATGTTGGTTTCTGTGTGATATCTCAGAGGGCCTGTTTGGATGCCAGGGAAATACCTTCTGCTCTTCACCTCCACTGTTCATATGTTTCTGGGCAGTCCTAGTTGCTTGTTCTTTGCGGGCATTCAAGCTGCTTTCAATGCCTTGTTAATGGGAGTTGGTGGGTGTGTGCTGAGGATTAAACTGAGCGCAGAAACAAGTATCTTAACTAGCTGTGCACTTAACACTGGCTCATATTATGCCTGAGGCCAGGAGTGACTTGTTAGGTGCATTCTTTTGCTTTCTGAGCCAGTCGTCTTTATTCCACACCCAGTCTTTCAGTCTCCGGGAAAAGTCCACAGTGAGGTCCTTTTGAGGTCCTTTTAAGTACTGTCTTTCCAAAGCTGTCAATGCCTGGCCTGCCACCATTTCAGTGGGGTTTTGCTGCAGATGGAGCCTTTTCTCAAAGTTCTGCTCGTGCCTCCTGTGTCGCTTCTGACCCTTTCTGTTTCATGGCAGGAGAGTCCAGGAGTTCCGGTACTAAATGTGGGCCATTCTTGGCTTCCCAGTTCAGCTACCAGCTATCGACACCTTGAAAGAATGTCTTTCTAAGGAGACATTCTTTTACTTACTGCTGTTTTGCTGTTGCAATGCTTTGGAGTCACAGCCTAGAAAGCAGAGCTAGAAGGGATTGTGGCCTTTCATTTAACCCACTGGGTGCTCCGATTTAGCTTGAAGGGCTCCACTGGTAATGACTGCTCCAAGTTGTGTGATGCACCATGCACGTTTTAAGGAGGAGGTGGTCAGCAGCCATATGTGAACAGTAACTTGAAAGCCCCTGATCTGCTCCATTCCCTGCCTCAAGACAGAGCCTGCCTCTGGTAGAAACAATCTAATTTTGTTTGAAAATGTCCAGGATGGTTGCTCTTCCATCTTCCGCATGACAGTATCTTCCAGAGTCCAGTCATCCTTAGTCATCTTACCAAATGTTTCCTTGTGCTTGACCTGTGTTTCTCCTCCTGCAGTTTAAACCCAGGGATTTTTGTCCCATTCTGAATGGACATTCAGAGCTATTTACTTCCTTCCTGCTTGAATTGAAAAACCTTTCTGGTTACTTGAAAGCTTGGGTTTATTTTCCCCCTCAGTCTCTGTGCTCCAAGCCACTTCCTCCCTTTGCTAATTTATAGGGTTTAATTTGACAAAATGGAGCCTGAGGCCTTTTCTGCCATGGAGGAGACAGTGGCTGTAGAAGCTGTTTTCCTAGGCCCTTGGTGATGAAAAGTGTTTGTGCTGTACCCCCTTCTGGATGGGGCAGTTATGATGTTCGAGCCTGTTTCCCAGTCTCCCAGGCTCTGCGAGAGAACACATACCCGTTCCTGGCTGTGATTATGCTGAAGGATCGCAGAATGACGGTAGTTGGGCGGCTAGAAGGCCTCATCCAGGCTGATGACCTCATTAATCAACTGATGTTCATCATGGATGCCAACCAGACGTACCTGGTGTCTGAACGCCTGGAAAGGTATGATGGGACCTGAGCTCCAGTAACACACACAGACCTTGTGGAGGTAGGCTCTGCTCTGCCCCCTTCTTCCCTCCAGACACCATGTGTAGGCAAGTAGCTCAGCATCTCCTGTTCTGTAACACGGCCCATGGGCTCTCTTCTTCCCAGTGGGATCATCAGTCCATAAATTCAGGCCACCCTATAGCCAGGGAGCTAGATGTATTGCCCACATGGGCTCACTGCTGAAAGGTGGGGGTGAGTGCTCTGCTGTGTTCTGCAGCTGGAGCACACCCTTAGTGCACTGGAGCTTTGCAGGTAAGGCTTGGTCAATAGCCTGTGGGAGCGAAGGCATGGCAGGCAGGAGGAGAACTGGTGTCTGCAGCCAGCCAGTGAGCAAGTGTGTTTTGGTAGTGCCTTGTGAGCACGAGCTCTGGTGCCTGTTAACTCTGTAGGGACACAGGCTGTGTCCAAAGTAGGATGCCACCTTCTGGTCTTCTGTCTGCCCCTCCTCTCCCCCGTGGTCTCTGCAGGGGACCCAGGAACACATTTTGATGCCTCTAGATTCTGAAATGTGCAAGGAGTTACCTGAAGGAGATAAAACCATGAAGAGTTTCAAGTATGAGGCAGAAATCCTGGGCACTGCTTATGTGCTGTCTGTCCACTCTGTTTTGCTGCAGTGGGTGAGAAGGGGTTTTTTTGTGTTCAGTTCATTTCCACTCAACCTAGGGAAATGGTTTGTGCGCTAAGGACTGTGGAGACTTGGCCTGCCTTTTAGGAGTTTGTGATACTCTAAATGAGGTGTTACCTGATGTGTGTGCTCGTATGAGTTTCAGGCTGTACCTGCACCCTCAGGTCTGCCATCAGCCTGCCATGCCTTCCCTTCAGTGCCTGCTAGCCCTGACTGCTCCCTGCTCCTGTTTGCAGGGAAGAGAGGAACCAAACCCAAGTTCTGAGGCAGCAGCAGGATGAAGCATATCTGGCATCCTTGCGTGCAGACCAGGAAAAGGAGCGCAAGAAGAAGGAGGAACGGGAGAGGAAGAAGAAGAAGGAGGAGGAAGTGCAGCAGCAAAAACTGGCAGAGGAGAGGCGGCGACAGGTGAGAGCAAACTGGCTGCCGAAGAGGCTGCTGTGCCCTGTCAGGTGCTCGCATTGTGTCAGAGCAGTGCTTGCAGTAGGGTTTTTGTGTCAGATTGGAGGTGCTTGTCTTGCTTGGGTGTCCTCTGAGCCTCCTGGAGCAGCTGTGCTGCAAGGGACAAGCATAGGGATCAGTTCAGTGCATGCCCATTGCTCCTGCTCCCTCTTTACTTTGCAGACGCTGCAGGAGGAGAAGGAGCGGAAGTCTGAATGCCTTCCTCCCGAACCACATCCCGATGACCCAGAAAGCGTTAAGATCATTTTCAAACTGCCTAATGATTCCAGAGTGGAGCGGCGATTCCACTTCACACAGTCATTGACGGTGAGCTTGGGACAGAGCTGATGGGCTCCCCAGAGTAAGAGAGGATCAAGAGATTCTCCAGGTTGCTCAGTAAAGCTTTGGTTCCATTGGACTTTGCCAAATGGTGACCTTCGAGAGCCTTAGCAGGCAGAGTTGTTCCTGGGTAAGGTGGGTGTCTTGGGGCCTGGTCCCACCAACTTGGGAGAGAGAAGAGGAAAAAAAACGGAAGAAACCTTTTCCTCAAAAGCTGAGACTCTTGTTGCTCCCTGTTAATTAAGAGTGTAGGAAGAGCCAGAAATGGTGTCTGGGCTGCCCAGGTACCCTGTGACAAGTCCAGTTTCATGCATGCTAAGAAAATGGCAGTTTTGTGTCTACAATGCAGTGATGATGCAAATTTGGTAACCTCCCATCCCACCCCACCCCATGAGATGCCATGGATGTGGTCTGTCTGTGTCATTGCTCCCCCAGCTGGCAGTTATTTCTGTGCTTCTTTCCCAGGTGATCCACGACTTCTTGTTCTCCTTGAAAGAAAGCCCTGAAAAGTTCCAGATTGAGGCCAACTTCCCTCGCCGTGTCCTGCCCTGCCTCCCGACAGAGGAGTGGCCCAACCCACCGACGCTGCAGGAGGCCGGACTCAGCCACACGGAAGTCCTCTTTGTGCAGGACCTTACGGACGATTGACACTTTTCCAGAAGACACAAAAATGGAAAGAGAAATTCATATTATTATTATAATACAATATTTTTTTTAAAAGACTGCGTACAAACGAGGGATCAGAGACCACATCGCCTGTGCCAGCTGTGCTGCGTGTGTGCACTGGCGAGAGGAAGCGTGTGTGTGTCCTCACACACCTGTGTACACAGCCATCCCCTACACTTGGAGGGCAGAGAGGGAGGGGAGCTGGTGTTGCCCCTCCACCCTCCCTGGGGAGGAACAGGAATGGCAGCTCTTGGTAATTATTGCTTTTATTGATGACAATAATAATAAAACCCCAACAACCTGACATCTTGTGAAGATTTGATACTCTGCTGCTCCTGACTGCCAGAAGACCGGGCACCTGAATGTGCTGGGAGTGGGGGGGAGGGGGGAAGGGCTGGACAGAATCTCTTCAGCTTCCCTCTGTGTATAAATATCTTTCTTTTAATACTTCTCTTGCTTTGTAATGACCAAAGGAGAATGGGGTTGACTATAGTATTAACTTTTTGATAAAGAGCTGCTTCAATTCTTACCTGTGTGGGGTCTTGCCCAGGGTTCTTAGCCTGCGTAGTGTAATAAACTCTGCCTCTAGCATGTCTGTGCCAATGCTTTCTGCCTGTGCCCCCTGCCCCAGCTGAGCTCTGGGGTGGGGTTCCAGCTGCTCTGGCTCTGCAGTGTGTTGCTGCTCACAGCATCATGGGTGCACTCAGCTTCTGGCCTTGAACTGGAAAATGTGGTGCCAGCAGAGCTGCTGGTGTAGGGTGAACAAGAGTATGCAGATGTGGGGGAAGGCAGGGCCAGGGGTGCTGCCTGCCTGGGGCATGGACTCTGGGGTGAGGCTGGGTGGGAGGGAGAGGGCCTTTCCTTTGCCCAAAGAGCTGGGGACACACCTCTCTGAGTGGGTTAGAGGTGGGGGAAAAAAGACAGGAGCATGGGTGTACACCTCTTCCCTGCCCCCCCGAGGCTTGGTTATGGCTGTGAAGCGGTGCTATCAACTCCTGCTCAAAGGGAGAGCTGTTCCTTCCCTGCCCCCTTTGGGCAGGTAACTATGCTCACTTGCCTGCACAAAGCACAGGAGGGAGCAGGGATGTCTCTCCAGTCCCACCAGTGAAGCCTGCCAGCAGTAGTAAACCAGCCCCCTTTCCTGGGGGCTTTGGGGCCTGGCATGGCTCTTTCAACAGGGAGAAGAGATCCTTCATTCTCCTCCCAAAGGAAGAGCTGTCCCCTCTCTGGCCATGGAGCCTCCTGGAGCAGTGTGGTTTGGGGAGCAGCAGCCTTGCTCTTCACCCTGGGGAGCCTGTGTGCCTGCCCTCTGGTGGGGTGGATGAGTCTGTTCTGCTCAGCTTGAAGTGCTCAGCCTGGGGCTGTTGAGGCTCCCTTGGGGCAACCAGGCGGTGCTGGTTTCCCAGCCAGCCCAGGGGAGTGCGGGGAGCACGGGGATTGCCTCTTCCCTGGCTGGGCATGGCTGTGCTGGGGGCCTGGGCTGCAGGACAGGAGGCAGCTGCCTCTCTGGTGTTGCTGGAGCCAGGCAGGAAGGACCCTCCATCGGGGTGCAAGCTGCGACAGATCTGGGTGGGAGCAAGGGCGTAGCAGACCCCTCTGGGGCAGAGGACCCAGCTGGCTCTTGCTTCTGCCCACGGGCTCTCCTGGGCTCGAGTCCCCTCTCCGGGGGCAGTTCCAGCAGCCGTGCCTTCCCTCCCCCTGCTGGGCGATGGCCTGGGGACCCCAAGCAGAGCCCCAGGGGACCCAGCAGGGCCATGCGTGGCCACCCTGGCCCCCCTCAAGCCCCCCCCAAGACAAGAGCCGGGGCGCAGCGTGTTGGTATACATCATACATTTATTAGTGAATATCCCTCTCAAAATCAGCCACAACATTAAAAAAAATAATGATTGCACTACTTGGTCAAGCAGAACTAGCAACTTTCATTTTAAAAAAAGTACAAATCTGTTAAAAATTTCAATCAGTATAATACACATATATATAATACAACATACTAGTTATGTTAAATGCTACAAAACCAATATGATTCCAATGGAATGGAAAAAAAACAAACACTTTTAGAGCTTTAAGAACCTTTTTTTTTCTATATATTAGCCTTTTTTCAAATACATACATGGGAAAAATGAGGTAACTGTAAAATGTGCAAGTAA